TGCTGGTGTTTTAGGAAGAATTCTAGATCAAATTTGTGTTGCGGTAGACCGTTGGCATTTCAAAGAGCTATGCGTCCTGGTTTTATCTTGCATCGGGGTGTATTAATTTATCCATGATGAGTGTTAGTAGCGATAGCAAATTATTTATTTGCTCCGATTGTTTCTCTATTAGCTTTTCTTGCCTAGACAGGTTGTCTATATTAAGTGAATTGGGGACACTATTTTGGGAAAGGTCCCTGTGGGTATTCGGATTATTTTGGATTCCTTGTAATGCTTGAGCATAAGAGGTTGAGGTAGTGGTGAATTTAGGAGAAATGGGCATTTGAGTGGTTAAGGGGATTGTGGTATTTGATCGGCAGGCTGGGTATTTGGTTGGTTTCCTCTTTTGCTCTGAGTTTAGGGTACTTGTTTGTGTACAGGGTTTTGTAGGCTGAGCAGCCTTTGTAGTTGGCAGGATGGTCACCTTGACAGTGGATGCACTTCGCTGGGGTTTCCGGTGATATACTGTACTGGTCAGTGGGGTGTGTACCTGCACATTTAACGCAGCGGAAGGTATTTTTGAGTGTGACCGTACCTTTGGCACCTTTTGCATTGCACTATCTCTTTTTTAACAAGCGGTGAAAAATAAGGATAGCCGGTCTTTCGAGACTCTATGCCTTATGTTACTAACGTTGATGACTTCGTGGCCGAGTTTTAAGAGTTCGAATTTTAGTTCATCAATGTCTGCTGAGTGGTGGACGTTGCGTAGAACCACCCGGAAAGGCCTTTCCTGTTTGAGTCGGTAGGTGTGGAAGATGGCGTTCAAGGTCCTAAGTAGCTTGATGAGTTTTCTGTATGCATCTGGGTTTGTCGGCAGAATTTTTACCTTGTTGTTGTTTATCTTCAGGTTGTAGTCCTCCTTGGAGATATCTCTCTCTAAGGACTTGATCATCGTTTGTATGTCAATGACATCATCAACAAATATTGGTGGGGAAGGGGGGCTTCTCTGTGTGTATTGGTTTGGTGGCGGTTCTACGATTTCCATGGAGTCGTTTGAGGATTCTAATACGGCGAACCTGCTGTGAGTGTTTACTGAATTGTTGTTTGTTTGTTCCGGGTGTCGTTTGTGTTTGTTTTTGGTGTTCTATCTTTCGCTTTCTTTGAATTTTTGGCGTCATTGGTACGAGGGGATCTGTTGCACTTTTGCCACGGAGGAGGCAGCGCGGGGTAGTTATGAATTTGCTCAGGAAAGCCTGGTCGTGATTCCTGGGCCACCATCGAGCTAGTTAATTCAAAATGAATAACTAGTCGTGATGCTATGTGGCTAGTATTTGGGTTGGGGTTAGGATTCCAATGAAGATTCATCAAACGCCCACAACCTTATTCCTGACCCCTCTCCGACATATATAAAATCTCCTCGCAAGACAGTACAACGTGAACAAAATTCACTAGATCGTTTTGTTGAGAATTGTGGATCTTTGAGGCCGAAGTAATGTTATAGGAACACTAAATTTATACTGCGGATTAATATTAAAACAATGATATATTTATTTCATGGACGATTCCTTATATATTCATCGATACATATTTGCACGCGTCTCAGCACTTTCTTCTATACCCGATTGTAAACCGACTCTTCGACGACTCTTAACCGACTGAAGAGTTTACATTCATCTGTTTTCTAAACGCTTCGGACACACTGATATTCACATACAAGTATCTCTACTACGCATTTAACCTCGTCCAGCACAGAAAATTATACATATCTCAACACGTTTAACAAGGGTTTCGCCACGATACAACGTTCCAAGATGATGTCAAAGATGATGCAAATTAGAAGACGAAGCCTAGACGTGTTTAATCGTCAAGCAAACGGTGTCTCCAGGTCAAAGAAAGGACTCTTTGACAATGTCTCTGCATCAGGGAGAGGTCGAAAACCAGCACCAGCAACGTGGTTTATGACAGCATTGGATGACCCTATAGAGACGACACCCCTTCATTTCCTTTGACATCGGCAATAGCCCTCTGCGCTGTTGCACTTCAATCGCCGCCCCATTCTCTCATCCATCGGAACGTATCATAACATGATTTCCCATATGAAATAATTTCCTGCATTTTTCTCTGTGCCGCATCAACGCACTTCCCACCGATCTCTCGTCCCCCCGCGCAAAACAAAGTGACAGATATTAGCACCGTTTCAACGGCGCCCCTCATTTTTCTTCCGTTACTTTTTCACATCCATTCCCTACTTTGCTAGGTTCCATTGTTTCCGATTATTATATATTATACATCATCACTTATGGTGCACGTTATTCACGCGAGTTTTGCTAATTTAGTACTTTATCCTTTTTTATAAATCTCTTTTTGTTATAGGATGTACTTCACTGTTTGCTATGATAGGTATATCATGTTGATTTGGTTTGCTTTAATTATATTTTAGCAAATACAATAGAAATTTCAGGCATCTCTAACTATTCAAACAGTTTCACGAATTGCTGTATAATAGTGAAATACCACATCTTCCACCCAGAAGCATTTCTAATCCAATTCCACGTAAACTATTTTAATTTTGCTCCATACTTTCTGTTTAAACAAAATCCAGCCTGTGCGATCCTCGCATGGGCTAGTGAAATAAATTCACCCAGTTCCACTCGTTCGAGTCACCGTGTTCCTATTGTCAACGATCTTCATCATCCCTGTATCTTCATATTGCATTTAAGGATTTGGTCAAGACATGGTCAAATGGTCAGACATACTCGTGCTGTACGATCGCGGTTTATAATTTCAAAAACGCGTCGATAATACCGCTATTCGGTAGTCGTTATATCTATCGGTTCGGGCAGCACACTGGCCTCGTAAGCTCCGTTATCCGACAAAACCATTTTGAGAATGAAGGTACTCATATCGGCGAATGTCATTTTTGCCATGTGACAGGATCAGCCCGGTGTAACGAATGAACCTCTACGATACATGATAATGCCCCGTTAAAATATTGCTACGAACGTAGGCGCTGATGCTATTCAGTCCTGTATTAACAAATGCGCTTGTTAACCAGAGCGAACCAACGCCGATTCCCGGAATGATTATTCGAATGTCGCGCGAGCTTGCTTCGAGTCAGCAGGTGACCAGGTCGCGTGCACCATGCAGAAACACGTCTTGTCGACCAGGAAATGTCGCAGTCGTAATGTGAAATATTAGCTACTTGTTATTTGTTCACGTTATACTACGGCAAGCACTGTGATATTTTCTCTTCATTTCTCATCTGTTTATTTTCGTTCTTATTACTTTTTGTGGTAGTTTCGCTTGATTTATAGATAGATGGGTGTTTCACGATAGGAATAAATTATTCCGTTTGTAAATATTCATGATATATTTCTGATGTTCTGATGATTTTTTGTGTTTGATGTAAAATCGGTGCGCAAACTTGTGTTTCATAACTCGCTTTAATGCGTTAGCTATCAGAATCGTTTGACAAAAAAAATTGCAACGATAAGAAACATACATAGGCCAGAATCAAAAGCTTCGTAAAAATATTTGACACGCAATGATTTATCTAAGTTCATACTGAGTTCTATTTGTGATTGTTCGCATTAAAAATATACGTTTTAGAATATTTAAGAAACTTCAGAAGCTATTTCATTTGTTTCAATAATGTTAATTGATGTAGGTTTGGGGTTGATAATTAATCGATTCACACAGATTCGATTTTCCTCTCTATATTTCTCCGCCTCGTACAACACGTCTTAACACACAGGATACACTTTGTCAATTAACACGTGGTCGACTTCCAAAACAAGAGAGCGTCGTTAGAAGTCGTACCAAATTAGATTCTAGTAACTAGCGATCATGCCAACTTAACTTTTCTCAACAAATAATACAGATACATATGTACATGGAAACTTGAATATTAATTTAGAATTTTTCTTGTAATTTCATAAAAATTCGTGTATACGCGTGCAATTAGTAACGATGAATGTTATATCGAAGACTAACCATGTAATATAAATTATATTTCAAACAATTGAATTCCCTTTTTTAGCTTATCTACCAAGCCGCGGTAATCTAAACTATCCTTCTCGTAGCTCGGAAGCATCGGCATACTTGAAAATGATCTCGCGGCGACGTAATTTTCACGATACGTCGAGTAGATACCCGTAATTTTGGCCGCTTGCACTGCTATTATCGCGCATCTACTTTCGAAATTTCGAAGCTATTTCTGTATTGTTAATCAGTACCCTCTCTTTATCTTGTAACCGGCCTCCAGGAGTTCCTATTTTCTTAAACGTCTAGGATCTCAATTTTCGCGATCCAAGATATCGCAGCTTTACGTACGGAATCCGTAATTTTTTTGAAATCAATATTATCCATAGAGCCAGCTATTGGCCCCTTCTTCGTGTCCTTTAGATTTTAATGACATAGATAAACGTTCATTATGTTTGAAAACTGATAAAGATGAAGATCGATGTCGAAACACTGTTTTTGTTTTTATTAAAAATTTTCCACTTTTGGCATTTATCTTCACTCCCTCGTAACTTCAATTTCTTAATTATTTTCAAAACTGGCTGAACAAATACGAAGCAGAAAAAGAAGCGAATCATTATATCCTAACGCTGGGGAGGCGAGGGAAGCAATCGAGTCCAATTCCACGTTCACCGTCTCCGTTTCCATAGAGATCAAAGCTCGAAATGTTTCGCGCGCTCGCGGCAAAATGAACGTTACGATGCTCAAACTTCTGTTCCTTTCACCAACTAGAAAGGGTGTCAGACAGGGTGAGAGGGAAAAAGGGAGGGGTTGAAACGGTGTCGTTACAAACCGAGCGGGCTATTAATCGCCCGCACGTTTTTTTGCCCGATTCCGAAGGAGCTAATAGAAACTACGCGATTGCACCGCTCTTTAAGTTCCACGAACCGCGAACATAAGACAAAATAGTATTGCAATGACTGTGGCAGGGTCGAACAAGGAGAACGTGAACAGGAACAATTGTAGCGGCTTCTTTAACCGTTCCCACTTCCTCGTGCAGAATGTCCCGTAATCGTTTCGAATTGCTATTGGCAAACTTGCATTTTGCAAATAACGAAACTATAGGACAGAGTAACACACTTGGAAAAGTTTTACCACTCATAAACATATTGACAGACAATTACCAACAAATTTTTTCACCAGGCAAAGATATTGTTGTCAACGAGACAATGGTTCCTTGGAGGGGACGACTAATATTCCGGCAATACATACCGACGAAATCACATAAGTATGGTATAAAACTATTCAAACTGTGTTTCACCGAAGGTTACACATGGTCTGTAAAGGTATATTCTGGACGAGAAATTACCGGAAATAAGCAAGTTGGCATAGCTGAAAACGTCTGCATTGAACTTGTAGATAAATTGCTAAATGAAGGACGAACTTTGTTCGTAGACAACCTTTATACGAGATATCAGTTAGCAATTAAATTTGTAAATTTTAGCACGCATGTCGTTGGAACTGTACGGCACAACAAAAAATATATGCCCCATTCCGTAATGCCATACCCGTTGAAGAAAGGTGAAATGATAGCACGAGAAGATAAGAACGGTATTGTGATCCTCAAATGGAGAGATGTTCGAAATGTTAGAATATTATCATCAAAACATGCACCCATTATGATTTCAAGTTCAAATTCTACATATCACGGATGTCCTTCGCAACAGTAACCTTTGACAGTAATTGCATATAATAATGGAAAAATTGGTATCCACAAAAGTGACCACATCTCATATACCACTACGATACGGAAAAGCATCAAGTGGTATCGGAAATTAGTACTACATTTACTCTTAGGGACAACTATAGTGAATGCTCATATTGTGTACCAAACAGCCACAAACAAAAAAATACCGATAAAAAAATTTCGGGAAATTCTCGTTTTCGAATGGTCCTCAGAAAATACTGTACTCGACAACCATCCGAAGAAAACGACGAAGGTGGCCCACCATTTGGAGATACGTAAGAATCAGAAGGGTAGGCCTATAAGAAGGATGTGCACCCTATGTTACAAGAAGAAGAGACAAACTGTCTCACGTGAAAAAAAATGAAAAGAAATACAACACATTGTTCGAAGTGCCCAAAATCACCCCAAATGTATTTGGAATGTTTTAACGAATACCATGAGATATAGCATAATGTAATATTTTAAATTAATAAAATTAATATTAATTAATTATTAATTTTAAATTAATAATTTATTAATAAATTAATAAAAAGTGTGATACAATGTGTTTTTAATATTTTTATGTTGTATAATCTATATATAATATTGTATATTTAATTAACTCGAACAAGAAGAGCGTCACCATACGTTGGTGACGGGGCCCCCACGGAAGTATACCCGTCGCACCGATATGTGCGACGTGGCGACACACGTGTTAAAGAATTCTGTTTTAGTGCAAATTGTGATGGCGAGTTTAAAAAATATCCGTAGAATTGAATAAATAAAAAAGTATAGTCCTAGAATCGTTTATGGAGGATTGGTCGAGGCACAACAACAACATGAGACGCTCTCGATCCGCCTTGTCCTATGACTCATGTGCCGCTACATCACCCCCCTATCAGTGATAACATTTTTATTAAGTTATAATTTTGAAATTATTAAACACGGTTTTCCTTTGGTCGCCGTTAGTTTAAAAATCACCGATATATCCTGTGTCCGACAATTTATGATTCTTACTAGAAACCTGTCTGCAACCAACCGGGAAAACGGATTCTACGTCCCGACAGCGTAACGTACCTATTCCTGGTGTTCTCTTCTGATGTTCGCTCGATGCTTACACTGTTATCGTCTCGAGAGTACGTTTGACCTACCGGAATCAGTACGTCACGGGATTCGGCGGTTTTTTTTCTAGGTTGTCCGGAACTACAAAGGCAGGTTTTAGACAGTTTATGGAAACCGTTACGTCGCGTTCAGTTATTTTAACAACGTAATTTTTCTCTTTTCCCGTTACGACTTTAAACGGCCTGACCTTCTCCATCCGTTGTTTTAGCCAATTCGCGTATTCCGAGTTGGTCCGCTGCTTGGTTGCTAAGAGAAATTCCGCCAATGGTAATATAACTCATTTCAGCTACCGTTGCGTTTGAGGTGTATGTGTTGTCTGTGATACTTGTAGCTGCTGGCTGTAAGTGTCGCTGCTGGGGTACTGCTATTTTTCTTCTAATTTAGATGCGTGGAAGAAAAATAGGACTATGGGCGCCGGGATTCGAACCCAGGTCCCGAACGTTCGTAACCTAAGGCGCTAACCACTGCGCTACCGTCGTCCGGTAGAAGTTAGTGTGGAGTGGCCGTATTTGTTGTCGAGTGCCGTCACGCCGTAATGAACTACTTTGTCCATTCCTGGATGTATTCATATTATACTTTGAAAGCAATGCAATACAAATTACCAAAAGGCTTTGCCATGATGATTACTAAGATGCAGCTGGTACAAATGGTGATTGGTTGGGTTGCAACTATTGCGGCTTACTATTACCAAAAAAGTTGTGGACTTTAATGCTACATTGCGCGTAAAAATTTTATGTTTGGTTTCCCCATCTACTTCAGTTATTTAATCCTATTTGGAAAATTCTTCTTTATCTCTTCTAAATTCTTTGGAAAAGTCCTCCTTTATCGCGGTTCGAATGCCTAGCAAAACAATCGGCAGGATTTCGACCCAGTTGCTCGTGTCGTGGCACTTGATCGTCGCTTTAGGGTGTCTATGCAAGCGCTCTATGATTAGACATTCCATTAGACACGGGATGATAGGCCGATGTGCGCAGGCGCGTGACGCCGAGCAACCTGCATAACTCTTTAAACAGACACGATTCGAATTAGCGTCCGTGGCCGGTTGTTATTTTTAAAGGGACGCTGAAACGAGAAATCCAAGTGGAAAGCCGAGGCGACAGTTGGCGCTTCCATAGCAGCAATGGGAACGGCTTCGGGCTAACGCGAAAAACGATCGATACACGATAGACAATATCGATAGTCCTGCAAGTATTGCATCACGATAATGTGTAAGTGTATGTGTCCGAACCGGCCTGCTAACATTTTGAACGCTCTAACTGGTGAGGATACGTGCCTTTCTTTTTTTTGTATACGAGAAGGGGAAAATGCATTACGCATACCAGACGACCCGCGCCGCCGGAATATGTGGGACTCGGCTGGTGGTAGTGCCATACCCACTAAAAACCCCTCCTTTTCCAATCCTTCTTCGAGCGGAAGGTCTCGACGGCACTGTTAATACCACATTACTTCGACGAGAACCTATTCGACGCGTTAACTCCTTATCAAACAAATGCCTCCATTTCTTCGGAGATAGTCATTATCCTCTTCTTCCCCTTTTCCGAATCGCCCCGCCTTTGTACCTTTTGCCTGTCTTGTCCTCATTACTATCCCGCAGAAACTACGTAACAACGATAGCTCCTACAATCGCATCCGCTCTATTACAAACCGCATCAAACTGATCACAATAATTTCTGTTAGAGTCTAACACTACGCCTAGGTATTTAACCCTTTCTCGTGTGTTAAGCACCTCTCCCGTCAATGTTATATTAAACTTCTTCGGAACTCTCATTCTGGTCAACAATATAATCTCCGTTTTCTCCTTTGCTATCTGAAGACCCGAATTTTCACACGAATTTAATATCGTCTTCATGTGGAGATTCAAATCTACCTCCACACTTTGCTTCTTCTCCATACCCATCAAGCTAGTGTCACGTAAAATTGATGCTTGGGTTGTAAGAGAAAAGAAAGCTGAGTCGTAACCCAACTATTAATTTTCTTTTATCGAACTTTATTATAATTTTGGCACTTACAATAATAGAATAACACTAAACCGTAAAGAGGGCGTTGTACAAGAACAGCAACTAGAACAAGAACTGCCCGAGCTGGGTGAAATCTCGGTTTATAAACGTTTTGGTTTTAGGATGTTGAGAGGCTAGGTGTAGGTTAGGATGTGGAAAAGTGCTCGAAAGTCGGGGGTCTATATCCTATCTCTGATGTGGACTAATGCGCGTCACAGCCTTGGTGTAGGCTATGATGATAAGGTGGTGATGTGTCCAAAGCAGTCTGAAAGTCGGGGGTCTATGTCTTATCACTGATGTAGGTTGAGATGTGATTGATGCCACAATAGCAAGGTCGTTCGCAAATGCAATAGCTCTGAGATTGACACTGTATTTTCGACCAATCGACCAATCGGGAGACGCAATCGCGAGGAAACACGTAATAATCGACGCCGCGAATTGGTCGATCCCCTGATTTCCGTTGAGATAATGTGGGTGGTTGAGGTGGTATAAGTTGAGGCTGCGATTAACAGGGTTATAAACTATATATTTTCAACGCTTAAGAGTTACACCGTTGCGTGTGATATACATCGTAGACGATGATTTGGCGTATAAAGATGCGGTACACATGCACAATAGAGCAAGACCCATACAGTTGAGTTTGTTGTTTTAGTTGACGTAGCAATAGAGGAGGCTAAGTATAGATATGAAGTGACTGTTCTGTAGTCCCGAGAACAAGTTTAGAGAGATGACGTGCTTAAGACTGACTTGTCGCTCTTACGTTATTACGGAGGAAATTTCGATGTGGGTGTGCCCTTTGAATGAAGAACGCGGATTCGTTGTTCACACTTTTCGTTAGGAAAATTGAGAGTAACGATCCGCGATGTCGATTGGTTATGACTCACGTTAATGCCGGGAGGTATGAGGAGGAAGCCTCCTACCAACGTGGTTAGTGGGTGACCTTGTTCATGGGAAAAACCAACCTGTTTTGTTAGACAAATGTATAGACCTGTTTTTCCCAATAGGTGAATACCCGCTTTTTCCGTGGTTTTAAGAGCGCTCAACAAACCCAAGGACTTTCTTAATAACCAGCCGCGAAACGAAAAAATTTCTAGGATTAAAAATCCTTCGGGACAAACAGATCGACTGAAAAACATATGTTGACACAATGAAGTTAAATTTAAAGGTTTATGATGGGTCCTTAGATTTATTGAGGTTCGAAATGACGGTACGTAGACCGTTGGCTGTCCAGCAGCGAGGGATGGAGTGCAGATGTCTTACGTGACATAACACTGCTCTTGGAGATACAGTCACGATGATGGATGCGAAGACTTGTTGGTGAGATGTTTACGTTGCTTTACGTACAACATGTACGGTCATTTGTAAAATTCAGGAAAGGTAATATAAACTCGGGTAATCGTAACACCACAGATACGAATCGCCTAGGTCGGCAAGATAATTTCTATATCTGATTGAAATAGAAAGAGTTATATAAGAATGCCGATGCGAACTCCCATCGACGCACACACACGCGCCAGCGCTTTTGCTTTACTCTCAGCAAAAAAAAAAAAACAAATATTTAAAGTAGTAATAGTAGAAAATATTCAAATAGTGTTTTACACTGACTGCAGCCTGTTCACATAGAATACTATCAGTGCCGTCACAGTCATGCAACTACGGACTACTTGATATTAAATACAGAGTCTTAAATAATGGCCAATAAAACGATACAAACTGAAGACGATGTGCCAATATTTTTATTGTTTTATTGACTAATATTTAGAGCTTGAAAGTACGTACAAAGAGAAATAGACATATTTCCGGAACCCATCTAGTAAATACGAATTATGAATAAATCTCCAGCTATGTAAAGTTTGACGATTGTACAAAATAGATTTACGCTTTT